GTTTGGCTCGTCGATCTGGTTGGAAGCAGGGCGTTTGAACGGGCGGCGGGGCCTGGAATGGAGCACGTTGACTGGGGGGTCGGGCCTGGAACCAGCTGGTTTGGGTAAGTAGCCTGTCCTGGAAGCCAGGGATTGGAATGGGCGGCGGGGCCTGGAATTCCGGAGGAGTTTGATCGGGGAATCGGGCTTGGAAGCAAGGGATTTAAACGGGCGTGCGGGCTTGGGCGGAGCCCAGATGAAGGAGTTTGCTTGGCGGCCAAGTCTGGGAGCAGGAGGCTCTCCGGGCGATGGCCTGGAAGCTGGTGATTTGAGTCGGGGCCTGGAAGCAGAAGATTCGAAGATTTGGGCTTCCAGGCCAGACTGCCTGTTCAAATCCCCTGCTTCCAGGCCCCGCAGCCCCCGAAAATCCCCTGATTCCAGGCCCGACTGGACTCTCACACTCTTGGCCTCCAGGCCCCCTTCAAATCCTTTGATTCCAGGCCAGACTGACTGTCTATCCAAATCTCCCGCTTCCAGGCCCCGCCGCCCGTTCACAACACCTGCTTCCAGGCCCGATTCCCCAGTCAAACTCGTATGTTCCAGGCCCCGCAAACAGCTCGAATCCTTGGCTTCAAGCCAGACTGCTAAGTTAAATCCCCAAGTTCCAGGCCCCGCCGCCCCTTCAAACCTTCCGCTTCCAGACTCGACTCCCCGAACACATTCCTTTACTCAAATCACAAAGTTGCGGACCAGATTGCCCACTCAAATCTTTTGTTTCCAGGCTCCCCCGCCCGTTTGAACCCTGCTTCCAGGCCCGACCTCCTAATTCAACCTTCGATTCGAATCCCGAGCTGCTTGCGCAATTCCCCTGCTCACGGCCCCCGCCGCCCGTTCAAGTCTTCTGTTTCCAGACCAGGCCCCGCTCAAATCCCCTATTCCCAGCCGCGCCGCCGATTCGAACCCTTGGCTCCCAGGCCAGACTGACTCCGGCTCGAAACTGCCCAAGCGTACTGCACATCCCCTGCTTCCAGCCCGCACCACCCGTTCAAATTCCTGGCGCCCAGAGGCCCGACTGCCCAATCAAGATCCCCCATTCCAGGCTTCGCCGCCCGCCCGAGCCCCTGGCGCACAGGCCAGGCTGCCCACTCGAATCCCCTGCTTCCAGGCCCCACCGTTCGTTCAAATCGCCCGCTTCCATGTCCGACTCCCCAAGTCACTTTTTCATGTCAAGTTCCGCTGCCCGTTCAAGTCCTTCCTGGGTTCAGGCCAGACCGCCTATTCAAATCTCTGATTCCAGGCCCCACCGCGCGTTCAAATCCCCTGCGCCCAGGCCCGATTCCCCGATCAAGCTCCTCTTGTATTCCAAGCCCCGCCGCCCGTTCAAATGCCCGGCTTCCAGGCCCGACTCGCGCGCCTCTATTCCAGGATCCGCCGCCTCTGCAAGTCCCTGGGGTTCCTGGTCAGACGGCCCATTCACCCCCCTCGCTTCCAGGCCCTGCCTCCCGTCCCATTCTCCAGCTCGCAGGTCCCACTCCCCAGTCAAACTCCGTCATTCCAAGCCCCGCCGCGCGCTCGAGTCCTTGGCTTCCAGGCCAGACTGCCCATTCAACCCCGCTGCTTCAGGGCCCACCGCCCACTCAAAGGCCCCGCCTCCAGGCGCGGTTCCCCAATCAGACTCCCCGGTTCCAGGCCCCACCGCCCGTTCAAATCCTTGGTCCGTGCGCCCCTTTACGCCCGTTCAAATCCTCGGCCAACAGTCCCCGCCGCCAGTTCAAATCCCCTGCTTCCAGGCCCGACTGCCCAATCCGACCTCTCCATCTATTCCAGGCCCCGCCGCCTGTCCAAATCCAGGGCTTCCAGATTCAAATCCTTCGCTTACAGGCCCCACCGCCCGTTCCACGCTCCTGCGTCCAGGCCCGACCGCCCTCCCAAGATCATGCCTTCCAGGCCCACTGCCCGCTCGAACCGTTGGCTTCCCGGCCAGACTGCCTGTTCAAACTCCGTGCTTCCAAGCCCCGCCGCCCGTCCAAATCCCTTGCTTCCAGGCCTGATTGCCCTTTCAAATCTCCGCCTTCCAGACCCCTTGCCTGTTCACATGTGATAATTCATGACTTGGCTGCCCTTTCAAGTCCCCTGCTTCCAGGCCTTGTGGCCCTTTCACATCTCCGGCGCCCAGTCCCGACTGCTGGCTTCCAGGCCCCGCTGCCCGTTCAAATCTCTTCATTCCAGGCCCGACCGCCACTCGTCATTTCCAGGCCTCGATTTCGCGGCGAAGGTACTCGCGCTTCGCAACCCTCATCCTGTTCTGGGGGCTGGGGGAAGGGTGGCGGCGCGAACACGCGAAGGTGATCGCGCTCCGCAGAGCGCGAAGCGCGAAGATAATTGCCGCAGTTCTGAACAGCTGTTGCGCGCCGACCGCGACCTCCCTGGGCACCCTGTCAGGGCCCATGTCGACTCGACCGATCCGATATCGATGTTGGCGGGCCCGATCCTGCTCGATTCCTATACCCCGACGATCCGACGCGGCCCGATGAGTGTACCCTGGCGCAGCCGATGCGCTTCGATTCCAAATCCGTGCCGATGCGGCCCGATCCAGGGCAGAGCCCGATCGGATCCGATTTCCCGACTCGATGCCGACCCGTCCTATACATGTTTTGCGCGCCGCCGAAAGCGGCAGGGGCCGCCCGCGAGCACACCACCTCGGCTGCAGTCCTCGGGATGTTGAATTCCGCATCGGCGCTGGCATATCCGTGGCCGAAGTTCGTTTCCATTCCGTGTGGCACACTCGCGCTTGATCGCTCTATCCGGTGCGCAGTCTGGCCCGAGTTGGCTCGCTGGACCTGCAGCGGGGCTCCACAGCGTTCAGCCATCCCCACGAGGACTGACCGTGGAAGAGCAGCAAACGGTATGAGCACACAATGCCTCGGAGCTCCGCGCGGATGCCTCAGATCGGCGCCTGGATTCCCTGGCGGCGCCTCTGGCGTCGCCCCTGGCGCGCTCCGCGCGCCAGGGAAGGGGGGCCCAGCGCCGATCCGAGAAATCCGCGCGGGCCTCCGAGAACTTCTGCTTATACTCTGTTTTGTCCTTCCTTTTTTCTGTCCTTCGTGCTCTCACCCCCTGTCGCTTGTATGCCGACCTCCTACTCGAGCAGTGGCGAAGCGCCATGGCGTGCCTATAGGCCTACCAAACAATGTTCTAAGTACATTCTGTTGTGTCGAAGAAATGTTCTCAGAGCATTTCTGGCTGGGACTGTCTTGTTGTAACACATCTTGTTTACGTTATATTGCTTTTGTTACCTATACGACCATCCTTCGGGTGATAAGGAGGTTCGGGGGGGGAGGAACCAACGTCTCACTCGATCGGTCTCACTATCGATCTCACTATCGATCTCAGTATCGGTCTCGCTCGATCGATCTCCCTCGATCGATCTCACAATCGATCTCACTCGATCTCACTCGATCTATCACACACTCGATCTCACTCGATCATCATCATCATCATCATCATCATCATCATCATCATCATCATCATCATCATCATCATCATCATCATCATCATCATAATCATCATCATCATCTCATCATCATCATCATCATCATCATCATCATCATCATCATCATCATCATCATCATCATCATCATCATCATCATCATCATCATCATCATCATCATCATCATCATCATCAGCATCAGCATCAACATCAGCATCAGCATCATCAGCAGCATCATCATCATCAGCATCACCATCATCATCATCATCATCATCATCATCATCATCCGTCATCATCATCATCGTCATCATCATCATCATCATCATCATCATCATCATCATCATCATCATCATCATCATCATCATCATCATCATCATCATCATCATCATCATCATCATCATCATCATCATCGCGGGACACCGCGGGACACTGGCGGGACACCGCGGGGCACACACGCGGGACACCGCGGGACACTGGCGCGGGACACCGCGGGTCACCGGCCGCCCGGAAGGGAGACATTTGGTCCGGCCGCGCCTCAGCCACATGGGACACCAGCGGGACACCGGCGGGACACCGCGCGCCACCGGCCGCCCGGAAGGGAGACATTTGGTCCGGCCGCGCCTCAGCCACAGGAGACTTTCTTCTCGCCCGCCCACGCAGCTTCGCCTCGCCCGCACGCACGGCACGCACGAACACGAAACCGAAATCGATTTCCCGGTAGGGGGGCTCTCCGTTCCACTTCGATTCGATCTCACCCCCTCACCTCCGATTAGAACATTGTGGTGTTCTAAGAACATGTCGTGGTAGGCCTATAGAAATGCCGGGACGGTCGGTCCCTGCTCAACCTACTCTTCGACCCGCCTCTTCACCGTTGCTACCATTGGGGTATTTTGCTAGGGCGATTTGCCCCACCTCCCCCGAGCCCCCCGATAGCGGGCTGCGTCCGACAACGGACAAAGATCGGATCGGGCGGTCCCTTTGCGTGAACATTGAAATTGACGGGCGCGGGGAGCGCGCTAGACTTGTATTCTTTTTCAGGGCAGCGCAGTCGAAGAACAACAGGTGGCACATGCAGAGTTTCTCGAAGGTCCGCGCGGCGCTCTTGGGTCGGCGCTCGGGCCCCCCTGGCGGCGCCTCTGGCGTCGCCCCTGGCGCGCTCCGCGCGCCGGGGAGGGGGGCCCAGCGCCGATCCGAGAAATCCGCGAGGACCTCCGAGAATCTATGTGCTTCCCAAATCCCTTTTTAATCGTCCCTTGGTCCAGTTCTTTGAGGCGCCGTTTTTATAATTGGGTGGTCCGGTTTATGAGGGCGTTTCCTTTGGATTGGAGCTTAGGGGGTCCGGCTTCGTAAGGCGCCCCGTACAAGAGGGGGGTTTGGAATAGTAGGTCGCATTTGGAGGGGGATCCGGTTTTTAAGGGGGGTCGATTCAGAAGAAGGGATTTGGAGTACGCCGTGCTGTGTTCTAGGCAGGCCTCCCAGGAGCTGCCGCCCGACACCGCCCGGCCGCCAGGGCAACAGGTCCGTGGTGCGCATGGCGCACCTCGACAGGCACGTCTACCGCGGTCCCCAGGCCCCGCCGCCGCGCCCCCTCTCCCACGCCCTGCAAGTCATCCAGGGCAGGGCGCGGTGCCTGGCTGGGCGATCAACGGCCGTCTCCGAGCACCTGCTGCGCTAACTCGTGTGGCGCTCCTCCTCCTCCTCCTCCTCCTCCTCCTCCTCCTCCTCCTCCTCCTCCTCCTCCTCCTCCTCCTCCTCCCCTCCTCCTGTGCCTGGGCCTCCCAGGCCTCGTCGTTGGCCTGCCGTCAGTCGCACATTGAGAGAACGCCTTCCTGGACAAGCCGACGAAGGAAACCTGCACCGGTTCAGTCGACATTGGTATTCGAGTGCGCCTGTGCATGCACTCCCTGATTGTGTTCGCAGATCGACGCGCGCTTTCCCTCGGTCGTTTTTGGACGCCCCCTCCCCGGGCGCTCCTGGAGCCATCTTAGGCAGTGCCCCCCCCCCCCCCTCCAGGAGGCCAAGATGTGGCCAAAACCTTAGAGTAACATCGGTGATGTTGACACTGTCGCCGAGGCCTCCTGGAGCGTCGTAGGGTGCCTCTGGGAGGCCTCTTGGGACCTCCTGGGGGTCCCCCCCCCCAGGAGGCCAAAGTGTGGCCAAAACCTTCGAGTAACATCGGTGATGTTGGCACTGTCGCCGAGGCCTCCTGGAGCGTCGTGGGTGCCTCTGGGAGGCCTCTTGGGACCTCCTGGGGGTCCCCCCCCCCAGGAGGCCAAAGTGTGGCCAAAACCTTCGAGTAACATCGGTGATGTTGGCACTGTCGCCGAGGCCTCCTGGAGCGTCGTGGGTGCCTCTGGGAGGCCTCTTGGGACCTCCTGGGGGTCCCCCCCCCCCCCGAGGCCTGTGGCGACGAGCGAGGGGCACGCACCCGCGTGGACCCACCGGGGGCGGGGCGGGCCCAGACCCCCCTCGAGGCATGCGCGGGCCACGACGGGCGCTGTGACCCTGTCTTCGGCCTCGGGGGCAGGAGGAGGAGGAGGAGGAGGAGGAGGAGGAGGAGGAGGAGGAGGGTAGAGGAGGAGGAGGAGGAGGAGGAGGAGGAGGAGGGAGGAGAGAGGAGGAGAGGAGAGGAGGAGAAGAGGAGGAGGAGGAGGAGGTAAAGGAGGAGAGGAGGAGGAGGAGGCGGAGGAGGAGGAGGGTAAGAAGGAGGAGGGAAGCGGAGGAGGAGGAGGAGGAGAGGAGGAGGAGGAGGGATTGGAGGAGGAGAGGAGGAGAGGGAGGAGGAAGGAGGAGGAAAAGAAAAGCCGTCGGGGGTAGGGGTTCGTCTCCGCGAAGGGCGCGCCGGTGCTGGGCCTCGGGACCCTCAAAGAACGACTCGGGATGTCTAGGCTTCCCAGGTGGGGTCCGAGCAGGTGGGGTTAGAGGATCGCGCCGCATCGCCGATGCATTGGCGATGCGGCGCGATCCTCCGACCACATCTGCTCGGACCCCACCTGGGAGGCCTCTAGGATGAAGAACTGGTCCAGGGAAATGGATCGAGACCTCCAGGGGTCGGCGTCATGAAAAATCATGGCGTCGAGCTTCTGGGAAGGGGGCTATGGGTGCGTGTTGACGGGTGGGGGTCCCCGCTCGAACGGGCGCCTCCCCCAGGTTCCGACAGCCCGCATCCACATTCACTGCCAGTCCTCCTCCCTCCGACCCCCAAATGGGATTGGGGTGTGTTGTGCGCTCGTCCTCTCTTGGGGTGTGCTCTGAACAGAATCTCGATCTGAATCCGGCCGTGGCGACGAGGAGTTTCCCAGGAGGCCCAGAATCGAAGAACAAAACATTGAAGAAATAGAAGAATCGTTTGGAATTCCGCGCGGATGTCTTGGATCGGCGCTGGGTGCCCCTGGCGGCGCCTCCGGCACAAGTCCTGGCGGGCTCCGCGCGCCAGGGAGGGGGGCCAGCGCCGATCCAAGAAATCGACAGTGTGCCTCCATCGAGGGAAGATGATCCCGATCTCGGCGATGGTGGTAATTCTCGGGCTTCCTGAGAGGCCGAAATATTACCACCGTCATCAAAATCTGGATCGTTCTCCCCGTGGAGGCAACCCCTGGTTTTGGTGCTGGTTCCCACCTCCAGGCCTCCAATTCTTGGGGCGTGCCCTGACCAGGACTTCGACGGGAATCTGGCCGAGGCGACGAGGACCTTCCCTGGAGGCCCAGAAACCTCAACCCCCGAAGCCTCGAGAACATCGATGCTCCCCAACTCGCTCGAGGTTCCGCCCCGCTCAAGGGCCCGCCGCGCAAGGTGGAACGCCGAGGGTGAACGCCGCGATCGTTCCAGGTTGAACGCTGCACGAAACCAGCGCACAGGTCGGCAGCGCGCGGACGGGACGCATCTTCCAGTATTCCCGCATCCGATGATGTCATTGGATGCTGTTCCTCCCATGGCGCCTCATCCTCATCCCCGACCTCCTTCCACCCGCACATCTCCCTCGTCCTTCTCTGCTCCTCCCAGCTCGAACCTCGATCCATCGAATCTCGATCCTTGATCCTCGAACCATCCCCCATCGCCCCCCCCGCGACAGCTTGTGCAGAGGAGGAGAGGAGGAGGAGGAGGAGGAGGAGGAGGAGGAGGAGGAGGAGGAGGAGGAGGATGGAAGAGAGGAGGAGGGATGGACGGCTCCCAGCGAGTTGGCAGGCAGCGAGTGGATCGACGCCATTCGACGAAGTCAGTCTCTCTTCGCAATGTGCCACCTGCACCAATTCCAGCGCCTCAGCTGGACGTGTCATTGGCTTCTTTATGGTGAGTGCTGTGCTGCGTGCTGGCGCATGGCTGCACGGTGGAAGTGATCAGGGACGTTGGCACCAGCCCGCGTTTTCCGGGCATGCTCACCTTGCTTGGTGTCACCAGCTCTGACACGCAGTACCGAATTGTTCGGCTTCCGCGGCGTTGTCCCAGCGACATACCCATCGGTTGTCGACGGTCAGATCCGCAGCCACGTTGGGACCACGCCACTCAGCAGATGGTTGGAGGCTCCATCGACGACAAGTAGCAGCTCTGGGTCACCAACGCCGAGCTCGACCGTGCTGACTTGCACGACATCGATTGCACCTCGCAGCCAGCGTACTTTGGCCGAGCTCGACCGCTCTGCTTCACTTCCACGCCTCTGCCTGCTCCCATGGCGCTGGCTTTTCCAGTGCTCAGCCCTGCTGCCCTCTGGTGGAGGCTGCTGACACGCTGCTTTGAAGGTCTTGCGAGGTGACAGCCGCCGCATTTGCGAGCTGGTACCCTTCGCCCAGCGCGCAGTGTCCAAGCTCAGCTTATGTTTATATGCGCTCCCTCAGAAGAAGCTGAGCCTTGGACACAGCAGCTGCTAGACTATGCTTTCTCTCTGCCGTATGCCCTGGCTTCTGCAGCAGCGCAAGCGACCAAGGTTCGCGCCATCGTTGTCTTTCGAGTTGCCCAGAAAGCCAAGCAAACAGGGTGGCGCGAGAAGGTGCGTCGGCACAGCCGTGGTGGCGCTGCTGCCCTCTTCGCTGTCACCAAGCCCGCCACGCCGTGGCACTCCAGCAAGTTTAACGCTGCAAGGGCGCCGTGCGCAGTTCAGGAGGAGGTGGAGACTCTCACTCGTGGGTGGTCGGACGGGTGGAATGTTGGACATGCCTCGGGCAGCATTCCGTGGCCGTCGTATCTCGGACCTCACTTTGAGCGACCGTCGCTCGAAGCCTTCAAGAGAACCATGCACAGTTTTCCCAAACGCCCAGGATGTGGTTTTGATCAGATTTGCCCTCGGCGACTTCTTGGGTGTTCGAACCCCGCCGTGGTATCCTTGCTCGCCCTGCTGGTCGATGTTGAAATTTCCTGCGACTGGCCGCGTATCTGGACCGAGGTGGTGTTTATTTCCAAGCGCGCCGGTGGCCTTCGGCCCACTACGTGCAGGCACATTCTTGTGCACATTCGAGGACGACTGCGCAAAGGGCTTGTTGCCCAGTGGCAAGCGCGCACTCCTCGTCCCTATTGGTGGTCCACGGCAGGCAAATCCAGCGACGTATTGGTCTGGTTGCAGTTTGCCCCTGCCGAGCGGGGTCGAGTCAAAGGCTTTTATAGTGCCCTCGCTTTGCTTGACTTGCAGAAGGCTTTCGAGTGTATTCAGCACTCTGAGCTTTTAGCCGTCGCCGTCTTGACTGGGTTTCCGACTCGTCAGTTGAAGCTCTTGGTCGAGCTTCATCGGCGCCCAGGGTCCTGGCGCTTAACGATGCAGTGTCGTGCCCCCGTTCTACCTTGCAAGCTGTGCTGCCAGGTTGTCACTCCGCCGCGCTCATGTTGCAGCTCGTTTTAGTGCTGCCACTCGACACACTGCAGGCAGCCTTCAGGCACATGCATGTAGGCAATGTGATTGACGAGTGTGTCTTGCAGAGGCTCGGTCGTGAGCCTGATGTCGCAGACGAGCTTGTCGGCGCAATCTTGTCTTTGCATGCTGAATTGAAAAAGATGCGGCCCCCCATCGCCTTGAAAAAGAGCCGCGCTGTTGCCTCCTCCCCCGGTCTGCGCACATCTCTTGCGCAGCTATTGATCAGGTTTCAGGCGGTTGGCACTCGTACTGAACGCAACTTGGGCATTGACTTTGCGTCGGGCAAGACGGCCCCCCAGGCCAATCGCGCTAGTCGGAATAAGCCAGCCAGGGTTCAGACTAGCAAGATTCGCGCGTTTACTAGGCGTGTGAAGAAGCATATGCTTCACAACATGGTCCAGAGTGCCTCTCTGTCGCCCTCCAAGTATGGCCACAAGGTGCTAGGGTCCACTGGCGTTAATCTTAGGCAAGGTCGCATGATGCAGGCACAGGTTCAGTTGCATAGGCTTCATGGCAAGTCCATTACTCTTATAATCACGTTGGCTCCCTCCCCTCGCACTGACCCCGCCTATTCCTTCGACGTCGACGCGCTGTGCTCGCATGCCGCCGATGTTTGGGAGCAGCGGCTTCCGCGCAGGATGCTGGAGCAAGGGCGGAGAGACGCGCCTGAGCGGTTGAGGGGGAATCAGAACCTCTGGGCTAGCATCCGCGGGACTCTGCTTGCGTTGCCACTGGTCTTCGAATCGGCGTTGTTCTTGACGGCTTTTCCCTGGCCCACCGACAGTTGGGCGGCATAGGCGTTGCCGAGGTCGGGCCCAGGACCGTCGCTCGCTGCCTTTCCAGAGTTGTCGACGCTTGGCTCTGGAGCAAGGTGGCCGTTCGCGAAGGGGTCCCCGACCTTGATCAGGGATGCATCACCGAGCTCCTTCGCCGTCTTTTGCGGTCCACGCAGCCACTTCCCACGGAGAAGGGCGATTTTCAAACGGTTGTTTGTGGGGGGGGGAATGGCCTCAGCAAAGACAATGGGCATGCAGCCTCGCCGCTGACCCCTTGTGCAAGCCGTGCCAGGAGTCCCCAGGCATTATGTTGCATCTACGCGCAGTTTGTGGAGGTCACGATGTGGTGCCGCCCGACACGCAGCCTCCCGAGCTTTTGGAGCCCTTGCTCAGGTCATGCTCCGATGCCCTCCGTCGCCTCTCCTCCGAGAGACTGCTCGCGCCCGATGCGCTGCTGCCTGCTGATCGACGGTTCGCTGCTGGACCTGCGGGCATGTCCGGACATTTTTTTCTGGACGGGAGCTGGATGGACCAGCATCTTCCGCGGCACGCTCAAGCAGCTGCCTGGGCTGTCGTTGCTGCGCAGCCTGAATATCCCTTCCGAGTTCTGTCCGCCACTGTCGGCGTTGCCACGTTGCCGTGACATCGATTGCGCGGAGTTGCGTGCCTTCCTGCGCGCTCTCCAGCACTCGGCGCCAGGCAGCACCTTTTTTAAAATACGGACTCCAGCTCTGTACATGGCGGAGTGCAGAGAGGTCGCCGTGCTTGCACCTCTGCGCCCTTGGCCCGGCCTGAAGTTTGGGCCCAGGTCTGGAACCGCGTCGAGGACCAGGGCGGAAGCGAGCAGATTGACCTCCGCCACGGCACAGCTCACTGCACCGAGGCGCGTGTTCAGTTTGGCCTTGCCACTCGCCCCGAGCAGATCGGGCATTCCGAGGTTGACAATTGGTCCCAGAGGGTTGCTCCGCGGGCGCGGATCCCCGAGAGGCCCCGTCAGGCGCGGTTGGCCACGGCCGCTGTCCTCGAAGCTTGGGGCACCTGGGTCCGTCGCCTCGGCCCGCGCGTGTGCGATCTCGCTGGTGTGCACGCTAGTTGAGGTGAAGCAGCGGAGCCAAGGAGGTGCCCAGGGGCGCGTTCCGGCTCGTGGTGTCTCCTCCGCTGCTCGTCGCGCCCCTCGCTTTCTCTCGGGCCGATCAAGCCTGCGCGCGCGGCCCTCGCTCGAGGACGCCAGCGCGTGGTGCCTCCCTGCCAGGTGGGCGGGGCGAGCGGGCGGGCGCGGTGCGTCGTGTGTCGTGTGTGCGGGGAGGGGGGGGCCGAGGCCTCGGCAGCTCTCTCCGCCTCTTGTCCTGGGCCGCCCGCTCCCGCCACGGGGAGGGGGCGCGGGTGCCGGCCAAGCTCGGCCGTGCGCCCGCTCGACACCAGATCGGTGGGGTCTGGCGGACCCTTTAGCCAACCCTTCAAGCCTGCCGACGTCGTTCGAGCTGGTGAGGGTTTCGGCGATGCTGGCGTTTTGGCCGTGTCGCACTCAACTCGTTCCGAGTTTTCCGTCGGCGGGAGTGATGTTGAGGACTTCGGGCGGTGGCACGAGCGGTGCCAACCCAAGGGCATGAGTCGCCCGCCCGAGTCATGTGGGCGTGACAGGACTTGTTGCGCTCCTGGGCTGGAAGGGAGGGAGGGAGGGGGGATGAGGAGGAAAACTGGGACGAGGAGGAGCCGGCGGAGCAGGGGGACGCGGGGAGAGTGTGCTTGTGTACCCCCCACCCTCCCCCCGCACGCAGTTGGCGCAGCGGCCGTGTCACCAGCTCGCCGTCGCCGCCGCTGGCCCCCTGGGCCGCAGCACCGGTGCGCCCCCCTGGGGAGCGTGGGGTCGGGAGCGGAAAAGAGGGGGGTGATGACTAGGGGGGGGTGGATTTCATGGCGCGGGCCATGATTTTTCCTCAGATTTCATGGCGCCTCTTCTTATTTCATTACGTCCCAGGCCCCCCCGCTGGGCCGCGCACATGCCGCCGGTCATGATTTGCGCCCCCCTCTTGGCCGCTCCCGATGGGGTCGGGGGTAACGATAGCGGGGGATACGCATAAGGGGGGGATGCATCGTCCTCGACTGGTTAATACATCAACGCTGCACCGTTGAGACCAGGGCACGTTGCCCAACGACATATGTGGGCCATGCATCGACGGTGCATGCACGATGCATGGGGCGGTCTGCATCGACGATGCGTCCACGATACATGGGGGATGCATCGGCGATTCGAAGTCGATGCATGCCCTCCTATGCCTGTCCCCCCTATAGTTGCTCCTCTGGGTGGGATCCCGCTGCTGCTCGTCGGGGAGGGCAAGTCGGGGGCGTCCACGAGCGGAGGTCCTGCCGTTGTGAGAAAAATGCGCGGCCGAGGGTGTTCGCCACTTTTGTGGCTCTGGGGGCCCTCGCTGGGCCCTGGCACCACCAGAGAACAGCTCTGGATAAACAAACCGTCCTCGGGAGAGGTTCCAGGTCTGTGGGGAGCCACGTCGTGAAGAATCACGACGGAAGATCTCTGGGGGCGTGGGGCGAGGACGAGAAGGCATCCAAGGTAGGCAGGGATTCGCCGCGTATGCTCGGACGTTCTCGCAGCCGCGCCTCGCGGAGAGCGCGCCGCGCGGGACGGCCGCGGGAGAGCCGAGCAGCGGCCGGGGCCGGAGAGCGCTCTCCTCTCCAGGACCACCAGAGCAGGCACGTCAAAGGTGGTCTTCACGCCTCGCCCCTGAAGCTGACGAAGAGGTGCACAGTCCACCCCTGCGCGTGTGTCCAACGTTTTGGCTTGAGGCCGGGTGTGGTGCAGGAGTGTCAGGTTGACCCAACAGGTTGCCTGCGCCCCTTGACGTCCGTTTGGCGTGCTCTGCAGACCTGGACCCCGCAGCCCTGCTCAAGAAATAGACACTGGTCGGGGCCACAGAATACCCCAGATTGAAGAGCCCCCTCCTCTCAGGAGAGGAGAAAACACACAGACACAATTAATCGCCGACTCCCAGGAAAGTATGGGAAACTAGGGGAAGGGCGGGAGAGGAGGACGAACACCCAGAAAATATAATGGAAGATATATGAGGCCTCCTGGATATTTGTGCCTATTCATTTGTGTCCCTGGGCCCCTCTTTGTCCTCTTCTTTCCACGTGCTCCTTGGCCCCCCTCGTCCGCGCACATGGCCTCGGACCATACGTTGCGCTGAGCCCCCATCCTCCCGCAGTGGCCACGGCGCCCCCCCCGAAGGAGAGGGGGTTTCTCCTGGGAGAAGGCGCCCTCTTGGGCGAAGTCGGGCATGTTCCTTCTACAGGAGGAATACCCAAAAGTAGTCCGAAAATGGTCTGCGGACGATGTTTCGACTATGTTGTGACTATTTCTGCGTATCTCGTTGACTATCTACTTGTCCTCCAACGTCCGCCTGTGGGAGAACATGCCCGACCTGACTCTTGGGCCTGGTCCCTGCCCTGCCAGGCCGGGGGGCCCTCGAGAACGACCCCGGGCGAAGAGGTCGGACCCCAGGACCCCAGGTAAGGGGACCAGGTTAGTGGTAGGGCCCCAGAGCCCTTGAATTGGCCAGAGTCACTAAACCAGGTCTGCCGTAGCTGGTGTTTTTCGGGTGACGGCAGCACTGGTTCGTGGAACGGGGCGGGGGGGCGCACCCCAGTACACATCACTAAACCAGGTCCCACTAAACCCAGTTCTGCCAACGCCCGAGGATGGCTGGAGCTGGCGGGGGCTCCCAGGTGGCCCAGCAGTGGTTCCGGCCAGCAGTCGGCGGCGAGCGAGGGGGTCAAGCAGTGGCGAAGCGTCCTTGCGTGCCTGTGGGCCTACCGAACAATGTTCTAAGAACCTCTTGTGGCTTCCACGACATGTTCTTAGAGCATTTCTGGCTGGGCCTGTCTTGTTTTAACACACCGGACTAATGCTCCAGGAACGTTGTCTTTGTTATTAGAACATGTTTGGGTTCTAAAAACATGTCGTGGTAGGCCTATAGGAATGCCGGGACGGTCGGTCACTGCTCAAGGGGGGGAACCGAGAAGGAGAAGGCCTTCTCAGAAGGCGGCGGGACTTCTCAGAAGCCCTCACGCCAGTGAGAAGTTCTTTCCGTCTTCGGGGAAGTCTTGGAACACTTCTCGGAGGGCCAGAGGACTTCCGAGCTTTCTGAAAAGTCCCGCCGCCTTCTGAGAAGCCCTCCTGCTTCTCACTTCCCCCCCTCGCTTGGCGCCGGGGCAGGAAGAGCGGGCAGGTTCGAGAGGTGCTGGGCTCGGAGAGGTGTTTGGCCTTCTGCGGCCCCATGGGGGCTGCTTCTGGGCCCCGGGGCCGCGAGCAAAACGGGTCCGGGATGAATCATTGCACCAGATGGACCCCGGGAGGCGTCCGGGGACCGATTTTGAATGGATGTCGCCCCCCCTTCCTCACCGATTTGCTGGCGTCCCAGCCAAATCAGACCCCCCAGCCGCCTCCCAACGCCCCCGCAGGGCCTGCTTACAGTCAGTTCGTTGAGGTAATTAGGGTCCAGGTCGAGGTCGGAAGGGGCTTGGTGGTTCCTCAGGTCTGGGTGCGTTCCGTTGCTTTTCGAGTGGCGAGCCCCTTGGGTGTTCTTTCAGTTTGCTAGCACGCGCGGACTCAGTTTGTCGATCATGCTCCTGGGAAGGGGTTCGGTCGTTCCTTCGAATCCTACGGATCGACTTGGAGGAAAAGGGTTTCCTTCCTTATCAGCAGCCCGACTGTACCTCACGACACGTTTCCTTCATGCCAGCTCCCGCGAGGCGCAGGAAGCGCAAGATGTGCAAAAAGCCACCAATGCCTTCTTGTTGTTTCGTGATTCGTGCCTGCTAGATTCGGCCCACCCAGACAAGTCGACTGAGGAGATCTGAACCAGTTCACTCCACACTGGCATTCGAGTGTACTGCTGCAGTCCACAGTCGGTGTCGCTAATCGACGTTCGCTTCGCGAGACACTTTCGGCTGTGTGCTGGACGTCGGTTGGCTGTCCCACTGGGGCCCACTAGGAACGCGGTGCCGCGCGCACGTCGAGTGCCCCTGGTAGCTTTCCCTGAGGGGCGGCTTGCGAAGGGGGGGTTTTGATCCACCCCGATGGATGGCGTCCTGGCCTTTGCTGTGATGTCTCGGAGGTTTCTCGGGGGCCCTCCGGCGCCGGGAGACCTTGGGGGAGCTGTGGGGTAGCTCTCGAAGCAGCGTTGGGCCATCGTGGCAGCACCGGCGGCGGCCTGGGGCGCTCCTGGAGGCCGCGAGCAGCCTTCAAGCGCCCTGGGCGGCGTTGGGCCGCGCAGGAAATAGAGAGTCTCGCGACGGGGGGTGATGCATGCAGGGGGCGGGGTGCCTAAGAATGGGGGAAGGAAGAATGATATAAACATAACAACTCGGAGATCCTCGCGGATTTCTCGGATCGGCGCTGGGCCCCTGGTGCGCGGAGCGCGCCAGGGGCGGCGCTGGAGGCGCCGCCAGGGGGGTCGAGCGCGGATCCGAGACATCCGCGCGGACCTCCGAGTTGTTATTTTTATGTCATGCTTCGTTCCCCTAGAGAAGATTACAGACACCCTACCAGACGGCACTTCGGCGTTCTGCCACGCCTTTTAGCGTGCCAGGAGGCACGCTGGGCGAGCTTCTTGGAGGCAGCTCGAGCAAGCGTGCCAAGATGGCGACCAGGGGAGTTTCGGGGATGTACTGCGCGCGAAGGCCTTACGGCCGGTGCCGCCGACACTGTTCGCTAGGGCGGGGAGGAGGAGTAAGAGGATTTCGCAGTAGGAGGAGGAGAAGGAAGTTGAGGAGGAGGAGGAGGAGGAGGTGGAGGAGGAGGTTTGGGGGCACGTTTTCTGTGGCCACGGCTGGACGCAGCTCGCAAAAGACCCCGAGATGGCCACCAGGCGAGATACAGGGATCTGGCTGGAGCGGCTTCGGCCAGGGGAGGGTGCCACCATGATGGAGGATTTGGCCAGGCGGATGTGTGTTTGCGATGTTCGGCATCCAGGGCATCAAAAGGCACTCGTGGACGCAGCATAGATTGGATGAGCATGATGTCTCAGAGTCCCGCCTGCATTTTTCGGATCGGCGCTGGGCCCCCCTGGCGGCACGCCCCTGGCGCTCTTCGCGCGCCAGGGCTGGGGGGTCCAGCGCTGACCCAAGAAATCTGCGCGGACCTCCGAGAAATTCTTCTCGGTTCGCGTATCCCAGCCCGTTCAGAAAATGTGTCTATGAGGGTTGGTTGGGAAAGGGACGACGAGACACAAGCAGTTAAACAACGCAGGCAGCCAGGATGAACAGAGAGATCTCTGGGAGCCAAGGGGGTGGCCTTGGTGGACCCCTGGAGAATGGGGACCAGGGCAGGAGGAGGATCAAGAGGAGGCAAACCGCCTCTTGGGGTCCTCGTGGGACGCTCTTGGGGCGTTCCTGGGCACTCTTGGGACCCATGGAGGGCCTCTTGAGGCCATCGTGGCGGCCAGCAAAGCAGAGGGGGTCCCGATTTTGCTCCCCCCTCTTGGGCCATCAACATCGCCTCTTGGGGGGCTCTTTGGCCGACCTTGGGCGCTCGTGGTGCAGTGTTGGGGGCTTCGTTGGCCCCTCCTTGGACCCCTCTGGGGGTGCTCTTTGGCCAACTCGGGGCAATCTTGAGGCCTCAAAAGCTCATCGGTCGCGAAAAGGCGAACATGTAGCAATCATTGATTTGTCTCAAGTTGTTGGAAGTGTTTGGCCTCCTGGGGGGGGAGTCCTGAGGGGCTCCGAGAATACGTACAGCCGTCTTGCAGTCCCCGTCGGGCCTCTTGGCTCTTGGGGGCATGTCGGATGTTGTTTTGAAATAGGTTCGGCTATCTTGAGCCGCCTTGGAGGCCATCTTGGAGCATCAGGAGCCCACTTCGAGCCATCTTAGGCCGTCTTGCCTGCCCTACCCCTCGCTCAACCACCTAAGAAACCTCAGGGAGGGGAGGGGGAGGGTGCTCCTCCCCGAAGGGAAGGGGGGGTTGGGAAGAGGAAAGGAAGAGATCGTCAGACCATCTACGCCAAAAGGGCTGCTGGGAGTCTGCGCATGCCTCGTGTCGTTCCTCTACGCTGGGGATGACCAACCTGTCTCCAGGAAGTAGCATGAGTAGCCTCGAGAGCGGGGCGCAAGCAGGGATGTGTGTTTGTTGCGGTGCGCTGCTGACCACCAGGCTCCAAGTGCAGGCAGAACAATTAGGGTCTTGGGTGGCAGCAGGCTTGTACAGAGCCGTTGGAGTACTTCGAGCTGGGGTTTAGAGATGGCGTGGGGACCGAGGGGAGCGACGACGCAGGGATCCCAGGCGAGCTGCTGCCAATCCACCACACTCACTTCAGGAGTGCATGGAGGCCCTCTTCCACCAATCCAAATGGGGGGAGTCGAGCAAGGAGCCAAGACATCCGACCGGGCCTCCGAAAGTGCATCGTCATGCTGTTAGTTCTTCTTTTATGATTCAGAACATGCGAGGCGTGCACAGACAGCTGGGACATCGGCGTCAGCAGGGGATGATGATGATGATGATGATGATAATGATGACAATGATGATAATGATGATGATGATGATGATGATGATGATGATGATGCTGATGCTGATGCTGATGCTGATGCTGATGCTGATGCTGATGCTGATGCTGATGGGGATGCTGATGATGACGATGATGATGATGAGGATGATGAGGATGATGCTGATGATGAGGATGATGATGAGGATGATGAGGATGATGAGGATGATGAGGATGATGAGGATGAGGATGAGGATGAAGATGATGAGGATGACGATGAGGATGATGATGCTGAGGTTGAGGTTGATGCTGATGCTGCTGATGATGATGATGATGATGATCGTGCTGATGATGATGATGATGATGATGATGATGATGATGATGATGATGATGGTGATGATGATGATGCTGATGATGCTGATGATGAGGAGGAGGATGGTGATGATAATGATGCTGGTGATGGTGATGATGATGACGACGCTGATGATGCTGGTGCTGATGCTGATGGCGATGATGAAGATGATTATGATGATGAGGAGGAGGATGAGAATGATGATGATGATGATGATGATGATGATGATGATGATGATGATGATGCTGATGCTGATGCTGATGCTGATGCTGATGCTGATGCTGATGCTGATGCTGATGCTGCTGATGATGATGATGTTGATGATGGTGGTGGTGGTGATGCTGATGATGGTGATGATGAAGAGGATGAGGAGGATGACGATGATAAAGTTCTTAGCCGTGTAGCGCACGGCGGGACGCCAAGCTTCCAAAGAACAAGCTGGTCGGAGTTGTATCTGGTCGGAGTTGTCGGGCTGGTCTGGTTTGAGCCTGGTGCTGAAGCTTTAGCTAAAGCTTTAGCTTAGGATTCAAGCGAGAGTGGTTTAGGGGAGGTCCCGGAATGCATTTTCAACGACGACGACCGAATTGCAGTTTTTTTTGCATTGCAGTTTTTTTTGCATCTGGTCTGGCTGGTCTGGTTGGAGCCTTGTGCTGAAGCTTTAGCTTAGGATTCGGGCGAGAGTGGTTTAGGGGAGGTCCAGGGATGCATCTTCAACGACGACGACCGAAAAACAGTTTTTTTTGCATTGCAGTTTTTTTTGCATTGCAGTTTTTTTTGCATCTGGTCTGGCTGGTCTGGTTGGAGCCTTGTGCTGAAGCTTTAGCTTAGGATTCGGGCGAGAGTGGTTTAGGGGAGGTCCAGGGATGCATCTTCAACGACGACGACCGAAAAGCAGTTTTTTTTGCATTGCAGTTTTTTTTGCATTGCAGTTTTTTTTGCATCTGGTCTGGCTGGTCTGGTTGGTCTGGTCTGAGCCTTGTGCTGAAGCTTTAGCTTAGGATTCGGGCGAGAGTGGTTTAGGGGAGGTCCAGGGATGCATCTTCAACGACGACGACCGAAAAGCAGTTTTTTTTGCATTGCAGTTTTTTTTGCATTGCAGTTTTTTTTGCATCTGGTCTGGCTGGTCTGGTTGGTCTGCTCTGAGCCTGGTGCTGAGGCTTTAGCTGGCGTTGGCATGGCGTTGGGTAGAAGGAGGGGGAGGAGGAAGAGCATCACCATCTCTGACGATTCCAGACTGGCGCCGTCTGGGGGGGTACGTGGTCACGCATGGACCCCCAGCGCGGCGCTGCTCGGCGATGGAGCTTACTTAGCTGTACTCCACAACGGCCCAGGTCGAGAAAAAACGCGGCCGCTCCTCGATCCTGGTCTTGTTACTCTGGTCGTGTTAGTCTGGTCTGGTCTGGCTGGTCTCGCGTCGACTGGTTGGTCGAGTAGTTCACCTCGTTGGTCTGGTTCGTCTGGTGTGGTACGTCCGATTGGTTCGGTTTGTCTGGTTCGGGTTGCTTTATCGGTCTGGTTCGCCAGGCTGGTCTAATTGGTCTGGCTGGTCTGGTCGGTCTGGTTGGTCTAGCTGGTCTGCTTGGTCTGGCTGTTTTTTTGCTCGTTGGTCTCGTTGGTCTAGCTGGTTTCGTCTGGTTGGTCTCATTGATTGGTCTGGCTGGTTGATTGGTCTGGCTGGTCTGGCTGGTCTGGTCTGCTCTGGATGGACTGGTTGGTCTGGCTGGTCTGGTCTGGTTTGGTCTGCCTGACCGGATCGACTGGTCAAGCTGGTCTGCTTGGTCTGGCTGGTATGTTTTTTCTCGTTGGTCTCGTTGGTCTGGTTGGTCTTGTCTGGTCTGCTCTGGCTGGTCTCGTTGGTCTGGTTGGTCTGTCGCGTTGGTCTGGCTGGTCGGGTTCGTCTGGGTGGTCTGGTCTGGTTGATTGGTCTGGCTGGTCTGGCTGGTCTGGTCTGCTCTGGATGGACTGGTTGGTCTGGCTGGTCTGGTCTGGTTTGGTCTGCCTGACCGGATCGACTGGCCAAGCTGGTCTGGTTGCTTGGTCTACTTGTTCTGCTGTCTGCTTAGTCTAGCTGGTGTGGTTGGTCTGGTTGGTCTGGCTGGTCTGCTTCGTTTGGTTGGTCTGGTTAGTCTGGCTGGTCTGGTCTTGTTGGTCTGGTTGGTTGGTCTGGCTGGTCCGGCCCGTCAAGCTGGTCTGGTTGGGGTTGGTCTGGCTGGTGTAGCTGGTCTAGCTGGTCTTGTCTGGCTGGTCTGTTTGGTCTGGCTGGTCTGGTCTGGTCTGTCTGGCCTGATCGGTTGGTCTACAGGTCTGGTCTCATTGATTGGTCTGCCTGGTCTGCTTGGTCTGGCTGGTCTGCTTCGTCTACTTCCTTTAATTGGTTTGGTTGGTTGGCCCGGTTAGTCTGGCGCGTTCGGTTCTGGCTGGTATGCTTGGTCTGGCTGGTCTGATTGGTCTGGTTGGTCTGGCTGGTCTGGTTCGTCTGGTTCGTCAGGTTGGTTGGCCGGGTCGCGTCGCGCCGTCGTCCTCGTCCCCACCCTCGATTTTCTCGTCGTCGTCGTCGTGGTCAGCGTCGTCGTCGTCGTCGTCGACGTCGTCGTCGTCCTGCCATTTGCGTCGCCGCAACCGGGCGCGGGACCGAAAGCGCTGAAACGTCGAGCCCCACTGCGGCGGAATTGAGGTGGCGGAGAGGAACATCAGCAGCCATATCAGTTCTTATGCCCCAAAGCAAGGTAAGGCGCTGGGGCATAAGAACTTTGCGCCTCGAGCGGCTTAGAATAAGAAGGAGGAGGAGGATGGTGATGGTGATGGTGATGGTGGTGGTGGTGATGGTGATGGTGATGGTGATGGTGATGATGATGATGATGAGGAGGAGGAGGAGGAGGAGGAGGAGGAGGAGGAGGAAGAAGGGGCGGGGGAGTGAGGGCGGGAGGGAGGGAGGGGGGAGGGATGGGAGGGAGGGGGAGGGAGGGAGGGATGGGAGGGAGGAGGGAGGGGAGGAGGAGGAGGAGGAGGAGGAGGAGGAGGAGGACGAGGAGAGGCGAGGAGGAGGACGAGGAGGAGGGAGTGAGGAGGAGGAGGAGGAGGAGGAGGAGGAGGAGGAGGAGGAGGAGGAGGAGGAGGGAGGGGGTTGAAGGAGGGGAGGCAGGAGGAGGAGGAGGAGGAGGAGGCAGGAGGAGGAGAAGGGAGGTGGTGAGGAGGCGGGAGGAGGAGGAGGAGGGGAGGGAGAATAGGAGGGAGGTGGGGCGAGGAGGATAGGAGGCGGAGGAGGAGGAGGAGGAGGAGGAGGAGGAAGAAAGAGGGGGCGGGGGAGGAGGGCGGGAGGGGGGAGGGGAGGGTGGGTGGAGGGAGGGAGGGAGGAGGGAGGCGGGAGGAGGAGGAGGAGGAGGAGGGGAGGAGGAGGAGGGACGAGGAGGAGGACGAGGAGGAGGACGAAGAGGAGACGAGGACGGAGGGAGGAGAGGAGGAGGAGGAGGAGGAGGAGGAGGAGGAGGGGCGGGAGGGGGTTGAAGGAGGGTGAGGAGGAGGAGGAGGAGGAGGAGGAGGAGGAGGTGGAGGACGGGGGGAGGAAGAAGTGGTGAGGGAGGCGGGAGGAGGAGGAGGGAGGAGGGGGAGGGGAGAATAGGAGGGAGGAGGGGGAGGAGGATGAGGAGGAGGAGGAGGAGGAGGAGGAGGAACAAGAGAAGGAGGAGGAGGAGGGAGGAGGAGGGAGGAGGAGGAGGAGGAGGAGAAAAAGGATGAGGAGGAAAAGGAGGAGGGGAGGAGGAGGAGGAGGAGAAAAAGGAGAGGGGAGGAGGAGGAGGAGGAGGAGGTGGAGGGAAAAAAGGAGGAGGAGGAGGAGGAGGAGCCGCCGCCGTGGGCCCTGCCCCCCAGGAGGCGAGTTCGACCCAGACAGCCCGGGGGCGTGCATACAGAGGAGCCGCGCCGCCGCCGCCGCCCCCGTGCTTGGGGAGGTTCCCCTGGAGTGGGGCGGCCCCGGCTGGCCTCAACAGCCTTCGTCGTTGCTGGCGCCTTTCTCGAAGGCCCCCCTCCTCGAGGAGGAGGAGGGGCGATCCTCCTCCCTCCTCCTCCTCCTCCTCTCCTCCTCCTCCTCTCCTCCTCCTCCTCCTCCTCCTCCTCCCCCTCCTTTCCTCGCCTGCTGGCGGCCCCCCCAGGGAGTCCCCCCTCCTGGAGGTCCAGACGGCCCCCCCAGGGAGTCCCGGCTGGCCTCAACGGGTCCCGCCTCCGACGGCACCCCCCGGGAGCGCTCCGCGCCCCTGGACGGAGGTGCCGAGACCCGCCCCGGACTGCTCGGGGGGCCTGCTGAGGCCCGGCTGGGACCACCTCTCGGATTATGATGTTCCAACCTGTTTTAGCCTTGACCACCAGAAAGAATTCCGAGCACCAGAAAAAGCACCGAAACTCTGTGGTTTTCACGTGTCGGGCCTTGGGAGACACTCGCCCGACACTGTCTCAAGACTCTTTCGACACTCTTTCGACACGTTTCCGTGTGCTCGAAATTACTTCTGCGATGTGGTCCCTAAGTACGATGGGAGCAACATAACTCTCGGAGGTCGACAGACCTCCTACCCTGACACGTCGATTAGTGAATTGGCCGTGTTCGGTTCGCGAGAGGGCGTCGCGGCCTTTATTTTTGCGGGTCCAGGTCCGTCGGATTCGGTCCCAGGCCGTCCTCACGAAAGGGAGGTTTACTAAATGGAGGTTTGTCCACCGCCGAACCTCTGGGGTCGGGGATCTACTGGCACGGGTCAAACCAGACCCAGTTCAGTCAGGCCCTGCAGGATCCCGCAGGATCCCGCAGGATCTTGCAGGATCCTGCGCCCAAACCCGGGTCAGTGCGCCCCTGGCCCTGCAGGATCTTGCAAGGTCCGGCGTTCTGACTGACCCCCGTTTGCATTGACCCCGTCTCTTGGGCCCTGAGGGGCGGCTTGTTGAGGCCAGCCGGGTCTCCCTGGGGGGGGGAGATCGCCAGCCCGAGACATACCCGTACAATCAAGATTCGAAGGAGGAGAACCTTCATCAATACGCGGCTGGAACGAGGATTGAGATCAGCCCTAGCTGTGGAGGGGTACCCTGATGTTCTCCTGGTTTGGGCCGTCCACGGAATGACCTTCGTTTGGCGCATTTCCATGGGCCATCATGGGATCTTGGGCTCTCGGGAAGGGGCACGTATTCTTGATGGAAGTTATGGTTCCCATGTTTCGACTGTACGCTTTGATATTTTGGAGGCTCGAAGAAGGCACTTCCCCTCCACTGATGGTCCTCTCTCCCTGTAGGACTAGAAGAAGCGAGCACGCATCGGCGTAAACACAAACGTTCAGAGTTCCGCGCGTATTTCCTGGATCGGCGCTGGGCCCCCTTGGCGGCCCCCCGCTGGCGGCCGCCCTGGCGGCGCCCCTGGCGCACTGCGCGCGCCAAGAGGGGGGTGTGGCGCCGATCCAGGGAATCTGCCCTGACCTCCGAGAATGAATGGTTTTATGCAGAACCTTGCGGGGGCGTCAAAGAAGGGGGTGATGACTAGGGGGGGCTATCATGGCGGGGGCCATGATATCTCCCCAGATTTCGTGGCGCCCCCCCTCTTGAACGCCCTCCTCTTGGCCACCCCCGAACCGTCTTCTTAACCAACTCCTACAGTCAAGCCGCTGAAGCAAGGACCACGTTCACACTGGCCTCATGAGGGGCCCTGGTTTCCGTGCAGTGCTTCCGATCTCGGCCTGAGCACCTATTCGTTGCCGAGGCTCGCAGTGGCGAAAAGAGCTACTTCGTTCCGTCTTCCTGTGGTTCTTGTGGTAGCCGGATGGCTGCATCTGGCTGGCATCATTCGATCTCGGTGCCAGTCTTCTGGATGTCCTCGGCGTCTGAGGGCGCGTCCCTGAGATTGTCGAACTGAGGGATGGGGATGAGCTCGAGTCTGGTTACGGGCAGAGGGTCAGGAGCAGGAGGTACCCCCCCTCTCCTCCTCCTTGTCCCCCCCCCCTCCACGTCCTTGAGTAGCTGCATCCGACCCATGACCTCATTTCCTTTATCATTGTGCTTTGGGACACTCGCTTTGTAATATGTGAGCCTATATTGCGTCTGCCCAGTATCGCTCTCGTATGGGTGACTAGCTCCAGTTCCATGTTCCATTTCATCTCCCGATCCTCCCTCGTCCCCTCCCCCCTCATCGTCATCCTCCTTCTCTTCCAGCCTTGAATCCTTCGAGCCTGGGCGTCCCCTCTAGAAGCGAAGTTAGCCTACGGTCATAATACGTTCCATGGTCGCGACGAGGGGTCCCAGCGGGCCCAGTACATAGTTAGGGCCCGTCATGGTAGCCCGGCGACTGTATGTGTGATTGGCGACGTGATTTGGCTGCAGGTTTCGTTCCTGGGCGAGCGCCACGTGATCCAGGCAGAGCTACTGATCTGCGAGAAAGCAGCACGCGGTGCTGCCCCATGCGCGCGTGTCTTTGGCTTGTCCCGGGGCGCGTCAGAACAAGAATACAAGAATTTGGAAGGAACTTCAAACGTGACCACGAGAAGGCCCCTGACGACCCAAGAAGGCTCGAGATCGCCCAAAGGCCCTCCGCCGCCCAAGCCCCAAGATAGCTCGAGAACGCCCGGAGATCTCCAGATCCTCCGGATCTTGGATAACCCCCCCCCGCTCATTGCATGCCCGCCCAGGGTCAATGTCGATCCTTCTCGATCCGATCCACTATCGATGTTTGCCGGCTCGATTCGGCTCGATTCCGATATTGCAGCGAGCCCATGCAGCCTCATGCCTACATGGCGCGGTTGCGAGTCTTGGCGCGTCCGATCCGATTTCGGTTCCGCGCAGATGAAGCCCGATCCGACACACTGCCGATCCCATCCTGTCTGATCCTCACCCCCCTGCCGTCATTTTTCCACGACGCAGACTGTGTTTGGGTCCACTCCAGCCCCCTTCTCCCCTTCCCCGCACCCTCTTGAAGTGCAAAAACTACATGAGCATAATTTCTCAGAGGTCTGCACGGGTTTCATGGATCGTCGTTTGGCCCCCCTTGGCGGCGCCTCCAGCGCCGCCACTGCCGCGATCCGCAGGCCAGAGAGTAGGAGGGGAAAAAGCACACAGACACAGTGAATCGTCGATTCCCTGAAAAATATGAAAAATATGGGAAGTGGAGGGGGACACAAAAATCTAAGAAACATGGAAAATATGAGGGATCCTGGGATTTGTGTGTATTTGTTTCTGTGTCCCTGGGCCCCTTGTGCGGACCTCCGCGGATGTATGCTGATGCAGTTCTGTTTTATTTCGAGGGGAAGCGGAGGAGGAGGAGGAGGAGGAGGAGGAGGAGAAGGAGGATGAGGAGGGGGAGGGGGAGGAGGGGGAGGGGGAGGGGGAGGGGGAAGGAGGCGACAGCGTGGGAGACGGGGGAGGAAAAGTGACAGGAGGAGGAGGAGGAGCTGGCAGAGGAGGAGGAGGAGCTGGCAGAGGAGGAGGAGGAGTAGGAGGAGGAGGAGGAGGTCCGTAGCCATTTTGGCTCAAGCCATTTTGGCTCAAGTAACCATTTTCTCGAGGTGTTTTTTAGAGACCAAGCCTTTCGGGCCCCCCAGTCGGCTGCCCAGCCAGGGGCCCCTTCCATTTCTTTTCCTCTCGGCTGGCCAAGCCAGCACGAGAGAGCAGCATCAGACACGATACCGCACATCGTGACACACCTTTTGCCTCACCATACTGGGCCATGGGCAAACAGGGGACAAATGGAGCCCCACGTGACTTTTCTTGGGAGTGCAGTGAGTGCAAAGCCAGTACCAGTCGTAATCTCAATTGGTGCTGGCGCTGTGGTTCCCATTGGACGAAGACGGCTACGGGTTGGTCGCATCCACACGGAGGCGCAGGCGGCAGCCCCCGAGGGAACGGACTACAACGCGCAGACAAAGGTGATGGCAAACAAAAGGGCAAGAAGGGCAAAGGCAAAAAAGGAGGACAGGCACAAACAGAAGGTCGTGATGCGCGTGATGTTTCTCCTGGCAGGGATGACTCTAATTCCGTGGCTTCAAATCCCTTCAAACTTGGTGTATCTGACGAACTCAGCGCCATGGACCTTTCTAGCCCAGACAAGGAGAAGAAGCACAACGTTGGGAACATTGGACATCAGATCCAAGTACTCCAGCATGCCTATGACACGCTCGCCAAAGGGGATGACGGAGCTGAAGGAGAGGCAGCCAAGGCCCGTCAACGCAAACTCCAAGCACCCCGAGAAGAGCGAGACAATGCAAAGCCCGCCAGCCACTGACTCCTCGTGGCCAGCGGAAACATGTCCAAGTTCGAGAAACAGGTCGAGAGCCACACCAAGACGGTGGGCATGCTTGAAGTCAAAGTCCAGAATGCAGCAGCACACCTACGTGAGCAAGAACGGGAGCTGGAGATCGCGAAGCAGAGCCTGGCAAAGGCCAAGCGGAAGCTTCAGGAGGTCAACACGGATATGGTTGTACACAAAGCGGTTGTGGCGGCCGCGAGTGAATCGGGAAGTCGGCCTTCCTCTCCCAAGCCCTCGCCCAAGCAGATCTTCGCGCTCACTCCCGACGAACTGCAAGCTGTCCTCGCCACGCGGGCGGCATATATTTCTGGTTATGACGAGAGCCAAATTAACAATGCCATGCAGTTATTGGGACCACTTTTCGGTCCACTTCCATCAGACGCAGCAGATGTACCCGTCCCAGCAGAGCCACCAGCAGCTGATGCTCAAGGTGCAGACGCAGGACAGGGTGATGCCAGAGGTAGTGCAGGAGATCGAGCTGGCCGTGCCCGCTCTGAGGCATCCTGCAGCCCCCACAGGAAGCCCCTTGCTAAGGCCCAGGCTACGAAGCCAGGCCCCAAGGGTGATGCGTCCAGGGGAGATGGCAGCCGTTTGCCTGCCAAGAAGGATGGGTAGCCCATCCACCAGTTGGGCCCACCATGAGACTCCCCCCACCTGTCGGCCTCCCGACC